CAGGATATCCTTTGCAGCGCCTACAAATGCTGAAGGAGTGGAAAAGGGGGTGTTTGTGGCTGGTAGCTGAAAGACTTCCACAAGTTGAGGTTCTCTCACAGACCAATATGGTTATGATCATGCATTATTTATCCAATATGGACCCAACAACCTGAATAGATGGATACTCATTATCGGGCTCCATGTTCCGCCTTGGCAAAAATGTACTGAATGCGCAGCCTCCTTCTTCACCGAGGCAGCTTCCTTCTTCAGCAGCGGTTGGGGCAGTTTGGGCCCCACGCTCCGTCTTCTCCTGGGCAGGCGCAGGGGTCCCCCCACGTTCCGGACAGGTCCGGGGGAGTTTTGTTTGGTATGCAAGAAAGATCGCTCCCTGCGATCAGTGCGCCGCTAGAACTCGGGCAACATTCTTTCTGCAAGCACATGCCCGTGCGGTGTTGTTTCTATATAGTTTGTGCCCAAACTTTGCCAGCAAGGCCTGGCCACCGGTCATTTAGTTTTGACCATGGCCGATCCCAATATCCTGGCCACAAAGTTGGTCGCAGACCTGGCAGCAAATGCCTCCGACCTGGTACTCTCGTCGAACTGCCTTCAGAATGTCGGCGCTTGCGCCTGCTGGTGAAAAGAGACCCCCAAAAACCAGCAGGCTCCATCTTCGGCACTCACTTTTTGGCACCAGATGGCATTTGACCACGTAGAATCGCAGACGCCATGTTGGATATTTTGGATGATGATGTATGCAATGGAGCCATGATGTGTGCATTTAACAAGAGGTCAGGAGAAGTGGCTTGACAAGGCCAGTTATACAACGATCGTTTGTGTTTTTTCAGCTGGATTTGATCAGCTCAACAACGCATCTTAGAAATACGCTCACAAGCAGAACTAGATGGGTAGTAGTGCAAAGTGACTAAGAGGTAGGAGGGCATCAAAACCCTTGGAAAACGATAGGGTATCCCAGAAAAGACGACGCACTCCTCTCAATGACCTCAGCCGTTGGAACGCTCAAGAACCTCGTGTTAAAGAGAGAAACCTCACGATTTCTACAATTTGGATTTATCAATATAGATCCGAATATGTTGAAGTCCTGTTGTTGACCACACACATTTTACACTACCACAAAAAAGTGACGGACATTTATTACCGAAAAAAGGTGTTGGACAATAGCTTGAACATAGGAAATAGCTTACTGATGAGAGAGCTCCAATGTTTCCCCAATGCCTGACAACACTTTGTTGTTGGACTAGCACCTCTAGTGACACTTGCTGAAACAAGAAAGTGATAGGGTTCCAAACTTGAATGTTTCCAGACACACTGGCAACCTTTCAGAAGTATACTGCATATGTTTGTTGTGCTGAGACTCAGTCTCAGTTTTAATAGGTCAAGTTTTAGTAGCCCTACACCTCCAAGTACCTGCTGGGAAGGTATTTGGACCCTCCAAACCCACCCCAAACACCTTTTCAGAAGGTATTTGGAGGCCTAGGGAAGGTGTGTAGACACGCCCGAGGGCGCCCATATGTTCGAGACAAACCCATTGCACTGGCTTGACAAGGCCCCCTTCTGGGCGCTCGCCTATGGCATCAGGTGGATGCTTGGGTGGTCAATCCTGGGCTTGAGGCTCGGACAGCAAGACTCAGTAGAATCTGAATAGGTTCAGACCTTCAAATCTTCCGATCCGTGTTACCTTTTTCAAGTTTGGGTCCAAGAAAGACTTCAGGGAGGGTCCTGGCAGTTAATAGAGGCAACTGTTGTTTGATGTCCTTTAGGGGATGAGATGGTTTTGGGTGTTGTCATAAAACCCCTAGGACGAGGGATTTCCACCCACGGAATCCTGGCTGTCAGACCCTCATGTCACTGACCATCAGCTTCTATAATGCCTTCAAACAGCTTTCTAGAGCGACCCCAAAACAGATACAACAATCATAATCACCTTTTGAATATTGAATCCAATTATTGGAAGTTTGAAAGTAGTGTTCAATTAGGGGACACTATATGTTTAGAAGCTGTTTTGTAGCGCAAGGTGGCTTGGTCATCAGGTGTTCAGGCGATTCTGGCTTGGATATACTTTTGTTGTTAATCGTGTGATTGAAGGTGATTGGCTTTTTGCGATGTTGGCTATTGAATGCTGGACAGGCACCAAGATGCAGGGAGCTGTAGATTTTGGTCCATTGTTTCTTGGGGCGACTGTAGTACGAGTGGCTTGATGGAGTTGTCGGAAACACAGCAATCACATATCAATTCTATTGTTGCTAGGGGCTTTGATTAAAACAGAATGAAAGGAATTGCCATCATCGCCCCCTTTTTCGTTGTCAGACATTTCTGTTGCAATGGGTCCGTCCCGGACCGTTTTTCCACACGCGAGCTGAGGCCGTTGCGCCCTGTTCTCGCTGCCTTTCATGCTGCCAAACCTCATCACGATTGGCCTGTTTTCGTTGAGAGGCTTTCTGGGAGAAGCAGGCCTGACGCACGTGGGACTCTCGGCCAGTGGACAGGTTTGGGCTGTGCAGCAGCTGCATGAAATCATGAAGAGTTCAAGCAGACTGACAAATCAACAGCTGGCATTGGAATGTATCTAAATCTATAATGCACGCTGGTTTCTCACATTGTTGCCAACTCAATGTCTTTAATTAGAATCTCGGTGTGAAACCAAGTCTTTGATCGTGCACAGCTGGTCATTCTATTTCATGGTGGTTGATGGAGGCCCCTTTGTAATTAGCAGGAAAGATCGTGCATGGCGTTGTACGTGGACGTTATTTTGGTCCAATCCTTAACTACCACTTCGCCACGATTGCGCATTTTCAAGGAGTGCTTCTGGCCTATTTCGGCTCTTACTATTCCGCTGGCATTCTCGTGCTTCGATTGCTTCTGGTCACAGTTCGTCCACCAGTGGTGGTGCAAAGAGATTCCCGGTTTCAGCAGCAGATTTGTGGGTCCGCCGTGGAATTGGGGCCATTCTTCGATGGTTGCATCTATAAATGGACATGCGGCATGAGCTAAATGGCGTATGAACCTCCTGAATAAGGCCATTTGCAGATGGTGTTTCTACCGGCCAGCGGACGACGTAGCAGTGCACGCGCACCAAGAGGTCCAACCAACAAGCCGTTCAAACGAGACCAAGCGAGGGAGAACCGTTGGAGTCGTAGCCGGACTCTGTCGCGTTGCCACGGCAACCGAGGACTCCACTGGCTGGCCATTGGTTCGCAGCCTCTCCGAAGCAGAGCGTGCCCAGTGGTCGAAGAAGCAGAGCAGTGCGTGCGGACGTCGTCTCACTGCGTGGAGCAGGTGATTCGGTGTCTCTCCGGTGATTCTTCGGTTGTGAATGAGTTTTGATTCCCCTCCTGTTTCTTCAGCCTTCCTCATCACAATTGAATACAGTACATCCACACCTGCTTATTCTCAGGCGGACTCAGCGTGTTCAGACTTGATTCTTCTCCCACCTCTTTCAAAAAGGAGAGGATCATCAGTAGGATCATCCAAAACAGCTCTCTTATTTGTTCACCCCCCCAGTCGTTCACCTGCAGTTGTTCGCCCGCTGTCGTTCTTGCCCCCCGCGGTCGCCCTCGAGGTTTGGGACCAACTCTTGGAGGCACAGTTGGAAAGCCCCAGACCATCCGAAGAGAGCGGTGGGAGAGTGGGAGGCGGTGGATGTTGTGCACAAGAGGCAGAGGGTGGACACATGTGGACACCGGACACCATTTTGGGCGCCCAACATGGCCAGTTGAATAGGAGAGGTCATGTACACCAATGTACGCCAATGTACACCATCTCCAACGCTGTCATTTAATGAATTTTGACACTTTCAAGGTGAACCGTGGACCTCTTAAAGATTTAATCTGAAGGGGTCCTGGAACTAGCCAAGAAGATTCTCAATCCCCTCATCGGAGATTCAGCGGATTGAGATCGGGTATTTTAGCAGAGGATTGGTACCGAATTGGTTCGAACTCGGAGACCGTTGGCCGCCGTTGGCACGTTTGAGTCGCAATGCGAAGTGAGGGCGTTCTGCTGTGTTGTGACTCAAGTTTCAGGTTCATTTGAACCCTCCATTGAAGTGGAACTGTTGGCAGTTTGGTGAGGCAAGGCACTTCTTTTTCTACGCACCGTTGGGGTGCCGTTTGGGCGAACATGATAGAGACATTGACATGGACATGGACATAGAGACATGGGGGAGGAGGTTGGTATCAAGGTTGGATTCGCAACATCAGAAACTCACCAGCTGATAGCAGGAACGAAGAGTTGAGTTGTTTCTACTGGTGGCACGCCTTGAGGTTCTCCAGTCCTGACTCCTTCAGGGATCCATATGATCAAGTTAGCTCAAATCTGGAACTTATATGCCGGCTCATATAGTTGTTCTTTTTGGTTTTATCAACCTATCAGTTGACGTGACCATTCTTTGGATGGTGCAGTAAAGGCTTTCCGCCGGAGATCAACGAATGTCAGAGCGTTCAGACCCGGGTTTCTGGAATGCAGCAGGTTCTGTGCTTAGCTTCTTGGGGCCGATGTATGCGTAGCCTGCCAAGAAGGGCAGGGCCCTTAAGCCGTTTTTTTCTGACAACCCACACGGCTCACAGCGACTCACGGCTCACAGCGGCTTTGCGCCTCACAAGGCTCCATTTGATGTGATGGAGGTTCCTCACAAAAGACAGCCCAGACAGGCTCATCGACTCATAGCTTCACTCTACAAAAAGCACCCTTAATTTTGTTCAGGTCCCTCTGATGGTCTTCCAGGAGCCCAAATCTTCTCCTTTGGCGCAGCGGTGGAACCAGAAAAGACGGGGCACCAGTTGGTTGCCATAAAATCCTATCAAATCATGATTGTAGACAGAAACTCTGGCGCCAAGCAAGTTGCGGAATCGATATGAATCGATCAAACGGATATTCTGACATTCTGATATATTTTCCTAAAGTTTGAAGCGGTTCGAAGTCCAGTCTTCAAGACCCTTCGAGCCACCGACACCTCACACACACAGTTCGAAGCCCACCCTCACCCCAGCAACACCTGAGTGACCCTTTTCTTCACCGGTTCGCATGGTTCGTATCACCATGGCATGGCTTCCCTGCCAGTGGTCTCAGCCCTGGAGAGTGGACCCACTGTGTGGCGCCCATGCGTGGCATTTCTCTCCTCGGCCGGTGGAAGCGAAACGCTGCAGGTGCTTTCAGCCCAGAAGATCGCACGGCTCGCACGCGGCTTTCACGCCATCCATGGAAAGGACCCGGCAAAAGACCGGGTGCAATAGACATTTGTGCTGCTAATGCATGAGGACAACCCAACAAATATATGCAAATTTAATATAGGTTTGACAGTTGACGTTATTAAAGCAGTTAGTTGTCCTATTGTAATGAGCCATCCTTTCAGCTTTTATGTCGGATCGGATCCTTTTCTTGTCCGTTCATCAAGAAAAAATGCCGTTCAACCTCGACCCCCACATCCATTATGATCGCCATTGCCTGTAACTGTATGCAATATGCAAGTCACTTAGTTTTTCAGGAACGATAAGCTGTTTTCATCTCCCGCATGCAAAAGTGCGACGAGAAGCTGTATGTTCTTCTCACAAATGCGCGGCGCAGGAGGAACGAGAAGCTTTTCAACGTGCGATCCAAGACATTTTCGTGATACATTTGCCACCCCATGGCCTTTCAGCCGTGTGGCGGCAACTGTGCATGGCCGTCGTGTCGGTGCAACTTTGGCTTGGAGAATGGACGCCCATCGGTCTGCAGTCTTTGCAGCTGCCAATGGCTGTGCTGCTGGGATGACTTAGCTGATGTCGTATATACAATAGTTATAAAACAGATCTTAGTTACTTGACTCAAGCAGCCCAGCAAAAGAGCACAGCTAACACACACACACACACCCACGCACCCACCACCCACCCACACCCACCCACTCACCCACCCACCCACACCCACACTCTGACACTTGTATTCAGTGAACTCAATTCCCAGGTCGAAAA